TGGGATCGGGGTCGGGGCCAGGGTCAGGAGGTGGGGCGGAGGCTGGCGTCACGGCCGGGTGCGGGGGCTGGGCCGGAGCGGGGGTCAGGGGCCAGGGTCCCGCAGAGTCACAGCCCCTGTTGCTCCTAGAACCGGGCGGCCCGAGTCCGCGTGGGCAAGGGGGACAAGCCAGTGAGCTACGAGGAGGCGCACGCGCCGCACTACATCGCCCACCGCAAGGGCTGGCTGTCGCTGCACACAGGTGAGGCCGGCAGCACGATCCCAGGCCTCCGGAAGGAGCGCCCAGCCACTGTCACGCAAACGGAATGAACAGGTTTAACTCCGCAATTACTGTCAGGGTCAGAAATCGGTTAAGTCGGTTTAAAGGAGACGCTAACAAGCAGAGACATATATAGCTCAGAATGTTGAAGTGGATTTGAAGATGTATGCAAAACTGACTTTGTCCATGGGGTGCGGGGACTCACCTGAGCCTCTGCTGAACAGAAATGATGTGCATGTCTATAGACAAAAAGTATTTTGCGTTGCCATTAGTTACCTGTAATTTACAGAGATGTAAAATAGTGCAGAGGCAATGAAAGCAGTGAAGCCCCCATAGAACCTGATACCTGGAAGCGTGTGCTCTGAATAATGCAGATCTCTTCTGAAACACAGAGTTTTCTCTACAGGTGTGTACAGTCGATCCTCATCATTCCCGGGTTCCATATTTGCGAATTCTTCTACTTTATTCATTTGTAACCCGCAAATCAGTACTCTGGGCGCTTTCAAGTTTCATTCTGGGACATGGCAGAGCAGCAACTCCACAAACTCAGCAAGTTTGAACACTTGACCTAGAGACTGGCCAGCCACCAAAAACAAAAACAAAAAAATACAGAATCTGGGCCGGCCCCGTGGCACACTCGGGAGAGTGCGGCGCTTGGGAGCGCAGTGGCGCTCCCGCCGCGGGGTCGGATCCTATATAGGGATGGCCAGTGCACTCATTGGCTGAGCACGGTGTGGGCGACACCAAGCCAAGGGTTGCGATCCCCTTACCAGTCACAAAAAAGACAAAAAACAAAACAAAACAAAACAAAAACCAGAATCTAATCCCCCACCCTTTCAGGTTCTGATTCTGAGGTCTGGCCTTGGGTGTGGAGACTCAACAGACATTGCAAGGAGTCCAGGGTCCACACCTAGAATCCTCTGGTGAAGGCCGTGGTCCTGGCTTGTGAGAGAACTGGTGTTCCAAATCTCAAAAGTAGGTGGTGGCCTCATCTGTCTGGTCCGTGGGATGACCAGCGCAGCTAAGAAAGACTGGAAAAGGGGCTAGAGGTGGAGGCATCACCCAAGTTTTGTGCTCTCGCTCAGGCCTCAGCCTTCCCTTTTGTGAAACAAGGATAATGAAAACACCTATTTAACAAGTTTAGTTTGGGAATTAATGAAATAATGTACTTTGAACATTAAACTGTTATTTT